GGCGCCGGCGCGGGCCGCGGCCAGGCTGCAGACCCGCGCCACACAAGTTAGTTCGGCCGGGCGGGCGCCGGCGCCGGTACTCGGCTTGTACTATCGACACGTGCGTCGAGACGTCGTGACCTTGTGCGTGACTGATCGCCCGTCTCGTAGCGATCATACCATCTCTAATTGCCTCTCATGTTTAGCGAGTTTATCTCAACCTTCTACTGTAATTGATTCAGTACAGAACTTGACAAACGACTAATTATACGTTTACTTGCCACGAGCAAATTGGAAAGCATACAATATATAACTTTAATTAGGAGTAGTAGAGGATCCCACCTACGGTCGCCCTGCACGGTCCTGAAACCCAGGTGAACATATACTACCTTCTACTGCCAGCGGCTTCGCACGCGTTCCCGTGGGATACAAAGTAGCCCGTGGGATATTCCAGACCATAATGTACCCCTGTTCCAAATTACATCTCAATCCCTGCAGCTGTTTTGACTAATAGAAGAGTTTGTTTGTTTGAACGCGCTTTTCTCCGGAACTGCTGCTTCGGAATGAATAATCTATACTAATATTATAAAGAGGAAAGATTTGTACCTATTTTTGTATGTTTGTAATGAATAGGCTCAAAAAGTACTGGGCCGATTTCAAAAAATCTTTCACCAATAGAATGCTACATACTTCCATTTTGACATAGGCTACATTTAATTTTGAAAAAAAAAAATCCTTGGTAAAATTAGAACAATGTAACCGAAGGTGTGGAAAAATTTGCCTTAAAATGTCTTTCGTCGAATGCGCTGCCGAAACTATTAGCGATAGAACAAAATAATGTACAACAATATTGAAGAACATCATAATGTCTACAAAAAACTCCGCGGTAGCATATGTCCAACTATTGTAGTCATGTCACTACAATAATCCTAATTTCCAAAAATAAATAATTGTCTACCCCGTGCGAAGCCGGGACGGGCTGCTAGTTCTTTATAAAACACTAGCTACTTTATCTTTAGTCCAGGTTCGAAGGATATATATCAATATGTGTGATTATAAGTGAAAAATAATCCATGACATTCATACAAAATGGATATTATCATAGATCAAACAAGTTGTCTAACTCGTTTAATACAGATAGACATACAAATAGAAATCGATACAGACATGCCCCGGCAGCCATATTGTGACCAAAACTATATTATTCATGTCCATGATGCCTCTATATTTATTTACTGTGACCTGGTTTTATTCGTACACCGAATTCGCGTTGTCGTTCGAGACATGTCACCGGACCTGTAAGGGGCGACCTTAAATGGGATCTAAGGTCAAAGCATGTCGGAAGTTGAGCGTAAAATTGGGGGCCTCACCTCTCCATAGGAGTAGGAGTCGGGCTGCCAGTAGGGGTCTGCGTAGGGGCCCGGCTCGGGGGCGCGGCCCCAGTCCTCGTACTGCGCGTACTGCGCCTGCTCCTCTGCCGCCGGCTGCTGCTGTAGCGGCTCTTGTTGCAGCTCGAGCTGTTGTTGTTGGCCGAGCTGTTGTTGCTGGCCGAGCTGTTGTTGCTGGCTAAGGTGTTGATGCTGGCCGAGCTGTTGTTGTTGTTGGTCGAGCTGTGTTTGGTGGGCGAGCTGTGTTTGGTGGGCGAGTTGTGGTTGCTGAGCGTAGTATTGCGCGGCGTAGTCGGGAGCCTCCTCGGTCGGCGCGGAGTATGGCGCCGGCTGCGGCGGGTACTGCGCCCCCTGACAGAAGAACATATTTACTACCGCACGGTATAACGAGAGTACGAGACATACATAATTGAGATGAGAGACGTTTGTCAATTCAGTGTTCTATGTGACGTTGACCAGCACGAAGCGAACCAAAACAATTTCTAAACATAGGGAAATGCTTAGTCAAGTATTGCAAGTTTAGAACAGGAAATATTATGTTACTTGAGCGAGTGAGATAGGCATATGTTCCTTTGTAATGTTTAGTAGTTTCAAAGCTACGTCTTTGTATGTCAAAATCGGCTCATTGTTTGTTGACGTTTGGTAATGGAGATTGCTTCTCTTCGTAAATATCTGAGATGAATGACATACAGAGGATGATATTGGTCCCGGCCACGGCCCTGCGTCCGCCGGCTGCGCATGTAGTAGTGTGTAGCGACGTACCTGTCCCTGTCCCGGCCACGGCTCCGCGCCCGCCGGCTGCGCATGTAGTAGTGTGTAGCGACGTACCTGTCCCTGTCCCGGCCACGGC